CTAATAAAAATTCAGGTGTACTTTTGCTTTATGTCAATAAGATGAGTTGATGGCATTTCTGACTTTACCTAAGATTATAGCAAAGCACTAATAAACTGAAGAACAATCAACAGTTAACTTAGACTTTCACACCACAAAAGCAGAGTAAGAATGAGAGGACTCCACCCCAGCTACCCACACAACAGGAACAACATTGAGAGGAAGCCCAAAGATTTCAGGGAGAAGCATTCTTCAACTTGTTACCCATTTTTCCTAAACAGAAAGTGTCCTTCAGTCTCATGCTTTGGCTTATCCCTGTTGTATTTACACCAACCAGACCATGAAGTGATGATGCTGTGGTGGCAGCACAAAAAAACTATGTTGGAGTTTTGAAGCATTGATAGCATTTCCTTCAAATTGTCACTAAAATATCATTTGAAGAAAATAAGGTAGAGCTGTAAAAACCAGAATATGCTTTTCTCTTAGTGTCTTACTATACAAACAGAAATATACCCAAGTTCCTCTGGAACTCATGAGATGTCTTCACGATTGAGCCAGAGGGCTGCTGTGTTTAGAAAACCAAAACCTACACACAGTGATCATTGATTTAAATGTCACTTCTAAACTCTCAAGCAAAAACTTTAAAAAGGTCATACATCTGGACCATTGTCCAGCACCCACTTTATGAAATACCTTCCCCCTGTACCTTGAGGTGTACAAAATCTGTGACTTAGTTTGCATTTTATAAACAATAGTTTTACTTATTAACATAGACAGAAAAGACATTTGGGTACCATGTATAAAGTTCTATGAATCTTTACGAACGACTGGAACCTGTTAAAGAAAACTTTTCTCAGAACATATCTTACTTCTTAAAGTTAAAACTAGTTAGAAGATAACGTGTATTTAACTCAGCTCAACAGTGAGGTCAAAAACAGGAAGAGGTCTTTAAAAACATTGATAATGTAACGTCAACACATGCTAAAAATTAATGTAACAGAAAGGAAAGTTTTTTCTAATAAGAAACATCTACATTATCAAAAAATGCACAATTAAAATGCTGTTCTGAGGGCTTAAAAATCCATGGCTTTTACTCTTTAATATTTTTATTAATTTAATAAATACAATCAGTTAAACAATCAAAGAGTAGTAAAAGGTTATGACAAAACCCAGCAATTCCCTTTCCATTTCTGTTCACCCCAGCCCTGCTGCCCAAAAGCAACAACTTTTAAATCTTTTTGTTCTATTTACTTCTGTATTTCTAAGTTTAATCTCTTATCTTTTCTATTATATATTAATTAGAAGACTGCCTGTCTGTGGTCTCTTTACTTATTTTTTCTCTTTCTCTTATATTTGGAGATTTTTCCTCAAATATCTGATGACCCTGGCTATCTATTCTTTTCTTTTGAATGTTTTCTCATTGATTCAAATCATTTTGTTTGCTCTTCTTTTTATTACACTTTAAGTTCTAGGGTACACGTGTACAACATGCAGGTTTGTTACATAGGTATATATGTGCCATGTTGGTTTGCTGTCCCCATCAACTCATAATTTAGGTATTTCTCCTAACGTTATCCCTCCCCCAGCCCTCTATCCCCCAACAGGCCCCAGTGTGTGATGTTCCCCTCCCTGTGTCCATGTGTTCTCATTGTTCAACTCCCACTTATGAGTGAGAACATGCAGTGTTTGATTTTCTGTCCTTGTGATATTTTGCTGAGAATGATGGTTTCCAGCTTCATCCATGTCCCTGCAAAGGACATGAACTCATTCTTTTTTATGGCTGCATAGTATTCCATGGTGTATATGTGCCACATTTTCTTTATCCACTCTATCATTGAGGGACATTTGGGTTGGTTCCAAGTTTTTGCTATTGTGAATAGTGCTGCAATAAACATATGTGTGCATGTGTCTTTATAGTAGCATGATTTATAATCCTTTGGGTATATACCCAGTAATGGGATTGCTGGGTCAAATGGTATTTCCAGTTCTAGATCCTTGAGGAATTGCCACACTGTCTTCCACAATGGTTGAACTAATTTACACTCCCACCAATAGTGTAAAAGCATTCCTATTTCTCCACATCCTCTCCAGCACCTGTTGTTTCCTGACTTTTTAATGATTGCCATTCTAACTGGTGTGAGACGGTATCTCATTGTGGTTTTGATTTGTATTTCTCTGATGACCAGTGATGATGAGCATTTTTTCATATGTCTATTGGCTGCATAAATGTCTTCTTTTGAGAAGTGTCTGTTCACATCTTTTGCCCAGTTTTTGATGGTGTGGTTTTTTTCTTGCAATTTTTTTTAAGTTCTTTGTAAATTCCAGATATTAGCCCTTTGTCAGATGGATAGATTACAAAAATTTTCTCCCATACCATAGGTTGCCTGTTCACCCTGATGGTAGTTTCCTTTGCTGTGCAGAAGCTCTTTAGTTTAATTAGATCCTATTTGTCAATTTGGGCTTTTGTTGCCATTGCTTTTGGTGTTTTAGTCATGAAGTCTTTGCCCATGCCTATGTCCTGAATGGTATTGCCTGAGTTTTATTCTAGGGTTTTTACAGTTTTAGGTCTTACATTTAAGTCTTTAATTCATCTCGAGTTCATCTTTGTATAAGGTGTAAGGAAGGGATCGAGTTTCAGCTTTCTACATATAGCTATCCTTGGCTATCTATTCTTATAAAGAGGCACTAAGAAGTAATTGGAAGCTATGCGAGGAAAGTAGGGGCAAAGAAAAGAGCTAATCATTTTGTAGTGAAAATATCAAAGCCTCCAGCAGTATTTTTTTTCCCCTAGAACTATTCATTATCTATTTGGGAAAAAAAAAGCCCTTGAATCTCCTGCCCAGCTGGAGACCAAGTTCCCATAAAGAAATGGGGGCAGTTGATGGATTAGAGCCCTCAGTCAGTAGCTCACTTGCTCACTTTCAAGAAACCCCATTATTTTCAGTCCCAGTCAATTATCTGCCTTTGAAAGTTTTAAATAACAGGGGGGAGATGCTTAAGGCATAAAAACTAAAACAGCGAGTATTCAAAATTAGATATGCAATATGATTTAACTCCATTAAAATATGCATAAAATAGCTAGAAAGAAATACACCAAAATTTTGAGTATTTATGGTTACTTCTAACTGGTGGAATAAAATATAATTATATCCTTAATACCATTGTTTATTTTCCAAGAGTTCCACAAGGCATACACACTAATTTAAATATGTGGGAAAAAATACTTGATTTTTAAAGAAACACGTATCAGGATGCCAGCAAGAAAATCCACAGAAGTGAATGTTAGTATGAGAGTAAAAGAGTTTTTCTGATCCTAGCTTAAAATATTTTAATACTTGATGTACACATTAATATTTTAAAAATATGAGTAAGATATTAATAAATATCCTATTAATATATTGAAATGTTGAAATGGCCACTTGTATATCAGAATCCAGCTGTACAACACTACTAAGAACTTTGAAGCCATCCATGAATCCTATCTCAGTTCCATTCTCCATTCACCTGAATTTGGTATTTGTCATTAGCTTTTCATTAATTTTATCACTTATGTGTATCTTTAAATAGCCTGTGGCCTAGCTTTGTATCTTTTGAATTTTATACAAATGGAACCACATTGTATGTATTGTTCTGCAGGTTATTTTATCTTCGGTCAATGTCTGTGATATTCATCCATATTAATTTTCCCAGTTGTATAATTTATATACACATAACATGAGACTATGGTATTTTATTTTATTAATATACCAGAATTTATTTATCTATTCTTCCATTTATTAAACTTGGGTTGCTTTTAGATTTTGTCATTACAAATGATTTTACCTCTTCTTTTCTAATCTTTGTATTTCTAATTCTCTATCTTGCCTAAACTTACTAGCTTAGCATCTCTAATACAATATTGAATAATAGTAGTGATACTGAACATCCTTATCTTGTTTCTGCCTGCTAATTTCTCTTTTTCCTTTTCTTCAGTTTGTTTAGTTGTCTTGTAAAATTTCTTGATTGAGAAATAGTTTTCATTTTTTCTTATTTATCAGTATAAATATTTAAGCCCTTAAGAAAACACCGCATTAGTTATGTCTCATAGGGTGTAGTAGGTATTGTTTATCAGTATTTCCTAGATATGAGTAATTTTGGTTTATATTTCCTCTTTGATCCAAGACTGGGCTGAGAAAAACAGCTGTTTTAATTTACAAGATGTTGGAGTTTTTAGTTTTTTATTTGCTTGTTCATTTTTGTCTTACTGTATTATGATTAGAGAATATTGTCAGTATAATTTCTGTTTTTTAAAATTTCTTACGGAGTTTGTAATTTAGAAAAGAATTTTGTCAATTTTTATGAATGTCCCTAGGTACTGTGAAGGGTTGTCTCTATTTTCAGGGTTCAGGGTTCAAAATATATGTAATTTAGAGATACTTCGTTATTCATGTTATTTAGGTCTTCTACATCTTTAATATGTTTCCTCCGACTTGTCTGTCAGGGACTAAGTGAAATAATTCAACCACTCCAAGTGTGCATCAGTCTAGTTCCTCCAGTGGATTTTTTTCTCCTTGTGAATATAGTTATGTACTTTGGTCCATTGATATTTACACCTTTTTACATTCACATTTTAAGTACCCTTCTTTTTCTTATGTTACGCTTTTAGATGTGAATTCCATGATAGCTGATATGAGTATCATAACTCCTTCATTTTTTTAAGTTTGTACTTGCCTGGTATAGCTATTGTTTTTTACTTTCTGAAGCATTTTGTCTTAAAGGTATATCTTTTATATAGCATCTATTTCTTTATGGTCCCACTTGAAATATTGTAAAAGTATGTTATGATACTTTTATTTATTGATATGTACGTCATTTTTAATTTATTGATAGGATGGGTATGTTTGCTATGGCTTTATCATATGGTTCTTGTTGTTTTCTAAATTTGTAGTTTAAAGTCTCTCACTTTAGTTTGGTTTATATTTCTAGTCTACTGATTACCTTTACTACATTGTATTTAACATGTTCATTCTCCATTTCTTTAGACAGTGTCCATTCGTTTCCTCTAAAACCAATGGGAAATTAGCATACTTTCACTTCCTGCCCTGTAACTCTGGCCACAGGTAAGAAGCCAAGCTTTATGGTTATTATATTCTTTGGTTTATCAAGACATTCTGCTTTCTTCTCCACTTTCATTTTTAGTCCATCAAATTGTAAAAACACATACACTATTTGAACGAGCAATTCTTCAATTACAAGCTGCTGATTTTTTTGCGCCCAAAATGTGCTTTTTTGTGAAATACCCACATAATTAATTTATTGTAGACATAATGAAATTACACACAAACAGAGCTTTTGAAATGATAAAAATGTTTTCTTACCTTTCTTCACTGAATCACACATACCCCCTGGGGTATAGACTCTAAATTGAATACACAAATTTAGATGAATAGTCCTCAATCTTTTTAGAATTGTGTATCCTCCGAGAGTGAAATTAACATAATTCACTCTCAGACAAAAATGTTCACATTTTCTCAGGCAACTCACAGTTCAGAGACGGCCAGGGAACTCAGATGCTAAGCACCGTACTTTAGACATTCAACATTACTGGAACTGTAGACATTGCCAACTTCAGAATCTCTCAGTCATAAAGTGAGACATGAAACATGGTGGAGACATTTGACAAGACATAAACAGCATAGTCAAATTAGCCATGCTTGATTAAATATGTAACGACTCATTTAGATAATCTGTCCAACAACAGCAGAGTTCAACAAGAGCCAGATTTCAAATAATTCTCTCATTTCACTCCTTCTTTGCCTCTCCTCTTTTTCTGTCCTGTCCTCCACCTCTTCTCTCTCGTTTCTCCTTCCTCCTCCCAGGACTTTTTATTCTCCCTCCTTCTTCCTCGCTTTACTTTACTTTCTCCTCCTCCGTTCCTCACCAAAAAACAAACAAAAAGCCCCTGCAGATTAGATTTTCTGCTCCACCTACTGGTTCTTTCAAGAATGTCATATTCTTGAGAAACTGGAGACACTACCTGGTATGTTAATGAAAATTTTTGTCATCTAAATTTTAGTATCTGAGAAGACCTTGATAATTTATAGACTAGGATCATTTTTAAATGTTAATTTAAATCCCAATTTATCAAACATATTAACATAGAGTGTAGATCATGTTAACATCTTCTATCAGAAACAACCATTGTAATATTTGAGCCCTTATTACAATCACATCCCACTTGTCTCTTTCAATTTCCTTCCTCCTATTCTATTCAGATAGCTGCTTCTCGGCTGTCTTTCCTGATACCTCATCCTGTGTGCATTTCTCTGTCCCCAGTTCGGTCTCTGATGCTCTTTTATTACACTGCAGGCACTTCCTTGGGTCGCTTACCTTCTTCCACTTCTTCAATTATTACTTTTACAAAATTGGTAGACTTACGTGTCTGGACTGAGCTCTCCTAAGTTCACATCTCTAAATACTGGTACAGGTAGCTTGCAAGCATTTCAAGCACCTCGAAACTGCTCTTTTCATTTCTGTTAATGACATTTCATCTGTTTCAATTATATATTGCTGTTTAACAAACCACTCCAAGCTGAATGACGTGTAACAGCAACCATTTTATCATGCTCACAGATTCCACAAGTCAGGAGTTCTGATAGGGCACAGCAGGGATGACTGGTCTTTGCTCCACACACGAGGGCACGTCAGCTGAAGACTGCCTCTTGCTGTCTGGGGAGATACCATATCTCCCACACATTACTAAGATGAACAGTGGGGGTGGGTGACAGAGAGGTAAAGATGAAAGTAGCTCCTTATTCTTTGCTTCTTAGAAATACATTACTTTTAAGCACCACACTCACGCTGAATAGTATATAAGATCAAGTACGCATTAAAAAACAAAAAGTACTTTCAGCAGAATTTGTATTGAAGTAGTTTTGTTGTTGTTGTTGTTTTCTTGTTTTTTTGAGACAGAGTTTTGCGCTGTTGCGCAGGCTGGAGTGCAGTGGCACGATCTTGGCTCACTGCAATCCCTGCCTCCCAGGTTCAAGTGATTCTCCTGCCTTAGCCTCCTGAGCTGGGATTACAGGCGCCCATCACCATGCCTTGCTAATTTTTGTATTTCTAGTAGAGATGGGGTTTCACCATGTTGGTCAGGCTAGTCTCGAACTCCTGACCTCAGTTGATCCACCCACCTCAGCCTCCCAAAGTGCTGTTGTGCCCGGCCTGTATTCAGGTGGTATTCATTTAAATGTTCTTTGAGGACATCTGAACTAGTTATTTTTAATAAACTACAGTTTGAACGACAAGAAACTGCTGAATTTGCATACTATACTAATGGTTAGAAGAATGTCAAGCAGCAGATGTGGAACAGATTCTAAAAGCCTGTCCGCCTCATCAAGTCAGAAAATGGAAGCAACCTTGACCAGATCTGAGCATAGATAAATTGCTATAAAGACTTTTATTTATGAAAGCATTATTCACTTGCTCTTACGTAAGAGGCATTCAGCCAGTACAGCTTTGTGAACTTTGATACCTCTCAACCATCTCATAAGAAAACACATCCACGACACAGTCAATGTTGCAAATCTAAATGACTGCAAAGTCAATTTACTTTCCTAAGTGGCTGTATTTGCATCAACCCATTGAAACTATGATGGGTTAGATGATGACAAATTTTAGGTTCAAACACATTTTGAAATATGAAGGGATTAACAGTAAAAGGATTATTGACAATACTGATTGAGTGAGCTTAACATCTAGAATAGAGCTGGCTACACTGATTGGAAGAGGAAATGCAGTTCAACTAACTTGCTCTGCTGGTATATGTATATGTTAGTGAATATCCAGTATAAAACCACTTGTCGGCCAGGCATGGTGACTCATCCCTGTAATCCCAGCACTTTGGGAGGCCGAGGCAGGTGGATCACCTGAGATCAGGATTTCAAGACCAGCCTGGCCAACGTGGTGAAACCTTGTCTCTACTTAAAAAAAAATACAAAAATTAGCCGGCTGTGCTGGCCCATGCCTGTAATCCCAGCTACTCGGGAGGCTGAGGCAAGAGAATCGCTTGAACCCAGGAGGTGGAAGTTGCAGTGAGTCAGGATCGCACCATTGCACTCCAGCCTGGACAACAAGAGTGAAACTCTATCTCAAAAAAAAAACAAAAAAAACAAAAAAACACACAAACAAACAAAAAACATAAAAACACTTGTAGAAACAGGTCTGTGAGTACATTAGTCTGTTTGCATACTGCTGTAAAGAACTGCCTGAGACTGAATAATTTATAAAGAGGTTTAATTGACTCATAGTTCAGCATGGCTGGGGAGGCCTCAGGAAACTTAGAATCATGGCAGAAGGCAAAAGGGAAACAAGGCACCTTCTTCACAAGGCGGCAGGAAGGAGAAGTGCCGAGCAAAGGAGGGAAGAGCCCCTTACAAAACTATCAGATCCTGTGAGAACTTACTCACTACCACGAGAACAGCACAGGGGTGATTTACCCCCATGATTCAATTACCTCCACCTGGTCTCTCCCTTGACACCTGGGGATTTTGGGGATTACAATTCAAGGTAAGATTTGGGTGGGGACACAAACCCTAACCATATCAGTGAGGTTTTATGTTGTATAACTTATGACTTGATTTCAGGTAACAAAACAAGGGAATTTAGTCAAGCCATTTACAAAAGTCTAAGCGTCACTAACTTAAATGTGCTAATTTAGGTTTATTATGAAATTGGATTGTTACGTATGCTTCTTTGGGAAGAAAGATGAAATTTTAAAATGTGGGATTTCAAATATATAACTTATACTTGTGGCAGGAATAACACAATACATTCTTGAAAACAATTTCTAAATGAGCTTTTAGAGATACTGGGAACTTCTGTTTTCACAGGCTAGGAATAAGACAGTTATACAGACAGTTAAACAACAATAAGCTTGATACTACAATATACCGCAAAACAGTGTTGGAAAACAAAGATTAACAGATCATTCATTAGGTAGCAGGTACTATAAATAAGGAAAGACCCACCTTCAGTATTTTGTAATAAGTGGGATGTGGATTGAATGACTGTAAATAGAATATGTTGAAAGCAATACTAAAAAATGTGCTGAAAGGGCAGAAGAGATTGACTCCAACGAAGGTTTCTTGAAGAAGATTTAAATTGGGCATGGAAGGATGAACAGGCACATAAGACATTCCAAGCAGAGATAGCAGCAGCCTGAGAAAAGGCCAGAGCGGGTATAACTTGGGGTAAGTTCAGAAAAGTGGTGAGTGACAAATGCACGGAGTATATGGTCTGAGACTGAAGTGCACAGAGAAATGTAGAAGATAAGGCTGAAACATGAGGTTAAATGGTGGATTGCTTGAAAGTATGAGCTTTATTAAAGTATTATTCACATATACAATAAAATTCCATGATTTTAAGTTCACTGAATTTTGATAAATGTATATACAGTCTAGTAACCATCAGCACAATCAAGATGTAAAACATGTAAATCACCTCAAAATACTTTTGTTCCCTTTCACAAATCTGCATCCCCTGGCCCCTGACGTCCATTGATCTGCTTTCTGTCATTAAAGCTTTGCTTTTTCTAGGTTTTCTTATAATGTAGTCACATAGTAACTACTTTTATATGTGGCTTTCACTTGGCATAATGCTTTTGACGTTCATCCATGTTACTGTCATTAGCAACAATTATTCCTTTTCATTGCTTAGTATTTTAATATATGCATATATCACAAGTTGTTTATCTGCTCACCTGCTGTTAGCCATTTGGGCTGTTTCTAATTTTCAACCATTGAATAAAGCTGCTGTGAAAACTGAGTACAAAACTTGCATTTTTCTTGAGTAAAATACCTAGGAATCAGGAACTCTGGCATTAGTATAGTTGAGCCTTGAACACAGGTTTGAACTGCACAGTTTTGCTGCTTCACAGATTTTCTTCCACCTCTGCCACCCTTTAGAGAGCAAGACCTACTCTTCTTCTTACCACTCCCACTAAGCCTACCCAACATGAAGTCAATGAGTATGAAGACCTTTACGATCATTCACTTCCACCTAATGAATAGCAAATATATCTTCTTTCTTATGATTTCCTTAATAACATTTTCATTTTTTTAGCTTGTAAGAAGAGTATATAATACATATAACACAAAACATGTGTGAATTGACTATGTTATTGGTCAGGCTACCAGTCAACAGTAGGCTAACAGTGATTAACTTTTGGGAGAGTCAAAAGTTATACAAGCATTTGAAACTGCGTGTAGTAAGGAGGAGTTGGGGCCCCTCGCCCTAATGTTGTTCAAGGATCAACTGTACTAAGAAATATTTGCATTTTCCTATATTATCCTGGCAACAAAAAATATAAATATTTCTTAGTTTTATTTCATAATAAAATTTATTAGATGTGTTATAAGACAGTTGAAGAATTCATACATTTTCCAGCCCTAAAAAGGCCACACACAATCACATAGATTCAACGTGTTCCAAGATAATGATATGTATGAGATGCTGTTCCTTATAAACTTTATTATGAAGCAAATAAAATAATACATTCATATTATTATATGAACAAAGAAGTCACACATTAAGAATCCTGTTGCGATTTTCTCTTAAGAGCAAAGAGCTGCAGAATCTCTAATATAAAAAAGAGGACATTTTCAATGTGTCCATTTTGCTAAGAAATGTGTGTATGAAATGCCTCCAAGTTTCTCATACTATATATGTTTGCTTTAAAGAAGGAAATTATTTCTCATTTCATTTTCCAAATGAGAAACATTGCCTAAATTCATGACATCCCTAGGATTATTCTTAGTCTCAACTTCCACATAGAGATGTCTGAAATAGAAAACTTTAAGTATCAGCATTCAGGGATATAAGCTTTCACATTCAAAAGGGCAGAGAATCTCAACATTAACAAACAATGGTTCCACAAAAATCAAAATTACAACTTACACATCTCTTAATAGTAACGTCACTTTAGAGTTTACAAACTACAGAAATAACTGAATTGTAACACATGCAGAGATTAAGAATATTTCAAGTGCTTCTAAATACCTATTATAAAAATATATATCTACTTGACACTACTATGTTCTCTGGAGAAAGATGTATAAAGATTACAGCAGAGACTTCAGTATTGACAAAGTGAAATTGTTACCTTCAAGTTGCATTCTAAAATTACTCTGAAGTGTCAACTTCACTGAATTAATGAAAACAAAATGTATTCCACGACAGATTTTTATGGCAGAAATGAAAACTTTAAAAAACACATGAAACAAAAACAAGACGAGAAATTTCCTGATATATATAATACTATTTACATTCCCTTATCTCAATACTTGGAAACTCAATGTTCAATTTTGTAAACTAGTCATATAAAATGACACTACAAGTATAAATGAGGTGTAATCAATTGACTCTGACAATCTGCCACCTCACCATTCATCACTGACAGCATCCAAAACATGTTACCATCTGCCCACGAGGTGGGGTGCAGAGTGGAAAAGACTAAGGCACAGGTAACTGCCACACAGTGGCGAAGTGCCGGCCAGTGGCATGGGGAGCACACATCCTGTGCCCTCCAAACCCCCGCACGGCCACTCTGCCTGCATCAACACACCCAGTCCCTTGGATGGCGCAGAACTTCCAGAATTTCAGCTTCTTTGGAATTCTCTGAGGGTGAATGCATGTACTCCCATCTATGCGTGTCCAAAACAAAAGCAAAAAAACCATAAAAAATAATGACACATATACCTCTTTACTTAAATGAAAAATAAAATCCTAAGAATCAAAAAAAAAAAAAGCCTTATACTTCTTTGTCTCTACTGTGCCTCATGTGCCTTGTACCAACTTGACCTTTAAAAAAACTATTTGCCAAAAAAATCGCTTCCTGATAACTCTTGGGTATGCTTTGGCTAATATTACTATCCCAGAGCCAAAATACACCTTTAACATAAACCAGGGTTTCATAAAGTATAGAACCTCAGGGGATCCATGGGCAAACTTTCTTTAGCTTAATACTTATGCATACCTCTTTCCAGAAAAACAAATAGGCAGGGAAAGTCCATCTCACCTCCTAGCCACCATGACTCAGCCTGTATTCTCTCTCCCTCCAGCCTCTCCTTGCCCTCACAGAGCTGTGGCATTCACCATGTCACCGCTTAAAATATCCAATTTGATTTGCCTTATTTGACGGCGATTTTCTTATAAAATCAGCAAAGTCAAAACGAACATAGACCTAGGTCTGACATCCGCGGTGTTAACTTTCATATTTTGTGGGTGTTTGGGAATTGGGAGTGTAGGGATAACTACTAAAATGAGTTATCTTCTTACCGGGCAGTTAGAGGTAAAGACATCAAGATACTTTCAATTCTGGATCCTGGAGTGAAGAGGCCAAACTTTGTGCCGCGATCATACAGCAGATTAAATTCTACATACCTGTCATAAATACATCAAACAACATTAAGGGCCAGCTCAATACAATCTTAAGACTAACCCATAACAAATATTTTAAAAGGGGTGGGCTTTTTCCCCCAGTTCCCACCAGTTGGAACTGGCACAGAGGACACCACCCTACAGCCCACTGAGAGCTCTCCATCTGGACAGGCAGAAATAAAAGGTTATTCTACGCACCGAACAATAGAATACGGAGTCTGACCCAACATAGAGCAGTCACAATACAAGGTTATGTCTTCCCATAAGTAAACAGAATTGACACAAAGCTGAGAAGTTTAAAGCACAACAATTAAGAAAAAAAAATACATCCCTTCTCAAGATAACCCAGCTCCTTCTGGCCTTCCTCATACTCTGGAATGTTTCAGAGACAAAGATTTCATTTCACTGTCTGTAACTCACGAGTACTACTACCAAGATGGTGTAAAACTTCTATATCTGAAAGGCCAACTACAGCTAATGATAATCTATTAACAATGGACTATGATATTCTATATATTCCTCTTTCTTAAAGTAGTTAATTGCATTAATAAGCAGTCACATAATTCAGTCTCTTTGCAGATTAATAGCAATCATAATAAAAGGTCGTGTTGAGTTGCAGCATTTTCATTTTTTTTTTTTTTAAATACCCTTAGCATCATCTAAAACTTGGTTCAGTATATTAACGGCCCTAGTCAGATCTGGACTCCATCCAGTTTAAAAGCCTGCGTCTGCCTTTAACATAGGATGTAAAAAGGTCTCCCTCTCTGATTTCAAAAGAATAATTTCTACTACTCAAAAGAATTTAGACTGATTCATAATCTGAAAAGTTCAATAAACAGTGCCCCTTTCAGATCATTTATCTAATTCAGAAATTACTCCCTTGGTCTAAACTTCTCTCACATATTCATATTTACCTATTGGTTACTGTCTTGATACCCATCTATAGCAAAATATTCTCTAGGTTCCCACAATAATTTTTTTTTTTTTTTGAGATGGAGTCTCGCTCTGTTGCCCAGGCTGGAGTGCAGTGGCGCGATCTCAGCTCACTGCAAGCTCTGCCTCCCGGGTTCATGCCATTCTCCTACCTCAGCCTCCTGAGTAGCTGGGACTACAGGCGCCCGCCACCATGTCTGGCTAATTTTTTGTATTTTTAGTACAGATGGAGTTTCACCGTGTTAGCCAGGATGGTCTCGATCTCCTGACCTCGTGATCCACCCACCTCAGCCTCCCAAAGTGCTGGGATTACAGGCCTGAGCCACCACGCCCAGCCCACAATACTTTAATTTTTTAAAAGCACCTTTTGTATGTGGAACTTGTCAAAAGCCCTGCAAAAGTGTAAAGAATTTTATCTATGCTCCCTTTCTAACTCTCACCATTTATCATTGACTTTTATGTACAAAGAACTATTTAATACCTTCTTATGTCTGTTTCAAAAAATAATTTAAGTGAATCTTCTGAATCCTTTTCTAAGACCATGGAAAAGAATTCTATCTTTTGGCTACCTTTTTCACCTGATATTACGTTTCTGAAACATCTAAGGGATGGGTATGGTTCTCTAGTTTATATTGATGTATTTGAAAACCTACCGCAGAGACCCTTGTAAAGAGTTCTAAATGAATTTTCTGTCAGATCCTTTCCTCTATTGAGCGAATGATGCCCCTTTCTTTACACTGGCCTCTCTACCTCCCACCAAGCTGCACTTAGATCTGATCTTTCTTTAAAAAAAAAAAAAAAATTTTTTTAATAAAAAATGTCCATCTCCTTTTCCTGGTATAGATCTGATATTCTACATATTCCTCTTTCTTAAAGTAGTTAATTGCATTAATAAGTAGTTATCTAATTCAGTCTCTCTGCAGATTAATAGGAATCACAATAAAAGGTAGTCTTGAGTTGCAGCATTTTCTTTTCTTTTTTTTTTTTTTAATAATTTCTCATCCTTTTCATACATCTGTCCTCTCTGGGGTGCCTATAAGTTAGGGACTTTAACCAATCCCTTCAATTTAACTAATGCCTACATTTTATCCTGTTTCCCTTTCCCAAAATACAACGAACAAATAAGTTAAAGGTCTTTAATTTCTGTTTTCCTATGAAAAGGATAACTGTAAGACTGACGTTCAAGGTCTGGGGGAGGAGAGTGTTTGGAGGGGGTGAAAACAGGGGAAAGTGGGTAACAGTAAGTGAAAAGGATAGATAACGGGTCATGACTGCAGTATTAGAAACCAAAGACAGTTGATAGCCCCAGAGAAGAGCTGGAGTTATCCTAGTCCCCAGAGTTTATCGCCATCTTAAGGCCCAGAGATAAGGGAGGCAGAAAGAAGCTGTCTTTGAAGAACAGTCACACACCATACCATAGAAAATTAATCTAATACCCCACAGTTCTGCCTGTCTCATGACACCACACATGCAATGATACACACACAATGACTTTCAGAATGATCTGCCATCAAACGACGTATAAAAAACAAAACAAACCATTACTCCTGTCTATGAAGTTTTAAAGGATTCACCTAACTAGTATTGACAAAATCTGCCAGCTTTGCCTATGAAATCTTGTGCAAAACTAGAATTCTTTACTTTGCACAGAGTTCTAAATTGTCCTCTTAGATATGTCATCCCCACTAAACCATGAGACTCTTTATGTCAGGTCCATGTTATGGCCACCTGGTAGCCAAGATAGTGCCTCATCCCAGGGGCCGCAAAATAAATATCAAGTGAAAGAAGGAAAGAGTGGTAAAGGTATATTCAAGAAATTATGGAAATGAACAAAAAACATGTTCCAAAATAGATATATTCTTTAAGAAATTTCTAAAAATTTACTCTCATGTTTTTCAAGTTAATAAATGGGAACCAGATAGCACAGGCAGTCATAAGAAAGGATATACGCAAATGTTTATCTTTAGACTTGAAACATTATTTAAGTTGACCTCTTTAAGGCAAAAGCTTTACCTCCTTAGTACTCAAAGCTTCTTTTGCCTAACACAGAATTAACATCAATGAGAAAATCCATTTTATAGCCATGTTTCAGTACTATACAGGCATTTAAGGTAGCAGTGAGAAACTGATCGGGGCCAGCAGGCTGTGTAATTTGGAGTGGATTTACAAGTAGACCGTGGCGGGAGAGGAGTGGATTTACAAGTAGACTGTGGCGGGAGATAGTCTCAAAATGGACACCCCACTGAGCTCACTATGCACACTGCACAGAGCAGGGTGGTTAAGGTGAGTATCATGGTAAGAAGCACAAACCTGCTTCAACTGCTTAACCTTATGCACTACACAGACTACAAGTTTTGAAGTCATTTTGACCCAGTTCCACATCTGAGATCTTATATTTACCAGCTATGTCTCTTGGGCAACAGATTAAACTTTCTGAAAAAGGATGATTACTCCTATCTTACAGGTTTGCTGAAAAACATCAGATACAAAATGCCTAATGGAGTGGCCGGCAGAATTTCTGAAATTATTTCCATGAAAATAACTTCTGTGAAATCTTTAAGATGAATGAAAAAAGTGTGATTCCAAATTTACAAAGCCGCAAAGACATTAAATGAGGCTCACATCTTGACATAAGGCTGGAGGGTATCACTAGAAGACTAAGAGAAATCAGCAGAATTAAATTCGGCGAGTACTTACTACATGCCTACTATGAGTCTCTAACGTATAGATGAATTAAATAAACTTTGCTATAATTATACTATTACTTTACACAATGTCTCTTAATTCTTTTTATAACCATCTAGCTTTGAAAAGAAATTAACACAACTATTACAAAGTATCCGACAACACAACACCTGCTATTATTAAGAGCTGCTCCACCTCCCCCAGTTACACCATTAAAGAATTCATTCTCCAGTCACTTACCGTCCTCTTCTGAGCTGCTGCCACAGCTTCTCCTGGGGCGTGAATGAGTCATCACAGTGCTTTTTCACAAGGGGAATATAAGAAGGAACTACAGCCTTGGCACAGCTCTGTACAAAGCGAAACACCTCCTCCTTGGACGGAGAGTCAAGATCATCAAAAAAGATACCACCAATGCCGCGCCGCTCTCCACGATGGGCTATAAAGAAGTAATCATCACACCTGGAAAACACAGCCGCGCCAAACCAGGGATCAAATGGAAAAAAAGAGACGTGAAAATCAATGTGAGACTTTCAGGTTACAGCACCATCCTCAACTAATGTCAGGATAGTGTCCTTATTTGCTGTCCAACTATGAAAATGAAATGAGGATTTTAGACAGATTTTTTGCAGATATCACCAAGGTAGAAAATGCTTATCTTTTTTTTTTTCTTTTTGTTTTTCAGACGGAGTTTCGCTCTGTCACTCAGGCTTGAGTGCAGTGGCACAATCTCGGCTCACCACAAGCTCCGCCTCCCAGGTTCATGCCATTCTCCTGCCTCAGCCTCCCAAGAAGCTGGGACTACAGGCGCTGCCACCACGCCCGGCTAGTTTTTTGTATTTTTAGTACGGATGGAGTTTCACTGTGTTAGCCAGGATGGTCTCGATCGCCTGACCTCGTGATCCGCCCAACTTGGCCTCCCAAAGTGCTGGAGTGAGATACGGCGCCCGCCGAAAATGTTTATCCTCTTATTTTCAAAGCAACCAGGCAATCTCACACAAGTCTATGTAAACGATGTGAAACTCTAAGAACTTTAGTGAACGGAGAAACAGTCAAATATTGATACTGTATTTCTTGGAACAAGCTGCTGCCTTCAGAAGCACTGATGCTTTTGTAGGAGGCAGGAGGCCAGGAATCTTCCACTAACAATGACACCAACCATGGTGCAAAGCCAAGCTCTCTCGAGTGAGTTCTTTATTCACCAAAGGAAGGTACTATACACAATCTCTCAGGTCTCTTTCAGCAATAAAATTTGATGGTTCTATAGCATGAACGACAGAGGGAAAAGTTGGTGGAAAAAAAAGATCAGAGAATATTTTTTATTCTTTCATATGTCATATCAGACATATGAAAGTTTACCCTGTGAGGCGGCACCTAAAACTATTAATCTGTTCTTGAGTCTTTTCCCCTCTATGACTACTAGAACAGGTTTCCTAAGAAGCCATTTCCTAACTGTTAAACTCATAAAATAGTTTATATCCTAAAAGTAGTTCTTTTGATAATCTCTGCATAAGGGTCCTTAAATAGAAAAACATGTTCAAAGAAAAACCAAAAGCTATTTAAAAGGTCACCTTAAATACAGCTTCAATTGCTTAAACAACAACAACAAAACAACAGATGCAGATCCCTAGAACTGACACATCGGTAGAATTCACCTCAATCGTGACTTGTTGGCCATCTTTATATGCACATTTTATTAACACAGTCTAAAAAAGTATATCCTGAGCAAGATTGTAAAGTCAGTTTTTAACCCAAATCATACCATTTCAAAATCTCTCTTCAAAACATTATAAAATTAAGTAATCTACTTACTTCTTAGTCGGTGTTCCTTTGCTTATAACAGAATTGCTGAAACTGCGTAATTTATAAGTAAAAGGAACTTATTTCTTAAGTTATGGAAGCTGAGAAGTCCAAGTTTGAGGGGCTTCATCCAGTGTGAGCGTTCTTGCCGGTGGGGTCTCTACAGAGTCCTGAGGCAGCGCACATCACATGGTCGGGGGCTGAACGTGCTAGCTCAGGTCTCTTCTTATAAAGCCACCAGTCCCGCTCCCATGAATTTAACCCATTAATGCATGAATGGATTAGTCCATCCATCAGGGCTTTGCCCAATCACCTCCTAAAGGGCCCAGCTCTTAATACTGCCAGATTGGGGGTTAAATTTCGACATGAGTTTTGGAGGGGACAAATATTCAAACCCAAGCACTTATACTAAAAAATTCTTTTTAACTAGCTAGCATCCTAGATATTTTATTACCTAACACTGCTTAAAGTCATCTGAGTAATAGCTAGAAAAAAGAACCAAAAGAGAACTGTCTACTCATTAGTCCTCCTGGAAGGATGCTAAGTTCTGAGAGAGTTTACAAGACAACCAGTATCTGCATGCATCCATGGCTGTATACTTTTCAGTAGTAATGTTAAATCAAGAGGAGAATATTCAAATGTTTCATCTTTTCTGGCAATTTTAAAGCTGAACTCCACACTCTTGCATAAATGACATTAACATTCTACAACTATTAGCTCTAAAAACAAAGCAAAAAGACAAAAATTCTTTCTGTTCTTCCTTTTTCGAGAATGTCAATGAGCGCTAAGCAAAATTGAGTCCTTTACTCATATTCCAAACAATTTGTGCCAAGATTCCATTTGATGATAACAAATATTCTGGGTCTTCTTCCAACTTTTGTTTGTTTTCTTATTTTATCATTAGAATTTCTTCAACAAATTCTCTAATTCTTCTTTCTCCTTGGCCAAAATCTCTGGTATGTGGGCATCTCCCTCTAGAGGTTCTCCAACCCTTCCCATGCCCTTACACATTCCCAAGTCAACATCAGGAACAATAATTCTCATCTGGAATGAGAATTTAACAACCCACTCTAGATTTAAAAGCCTCTCATTCTCAAGCATAGATCACCTTATAGTTTACAGTCTATCATTCTACATCATTTGGAATAAAAAGATGTTACTACTCAATTATATTATAATATTCCTAACTAAATAATTTAATACAACCACTTAAAACTAGTATTCTAATTCTTCTGATGAGTAAAGTAAGGAAAATAGTTCCATTTTCATAAGCAGAAGAGGGTATTTAGTGACATAATAGTTGCCTTCAGAAGGAACAGAATGTAATTTTGGGGTCACGCAAGTTCAGTAACTTTACCTACCATTTTTTAAATTTGGGGTAGAGCTCTGGACCATGCTGGTCACAAGCCTCCTTTAGAGTTCTGTGAAAATGGACAGCGTCTTCTTGGTTCAAGTATGTTGGAGTGAGGTCACATCCACCACCAAACCACCACTGCTTGTTGCCTACCAAATCAAGACATGGGATTCTAATGCGGACTTTCGAGATTCAGCATTACTGGCTATATTAGAAAACTTAATTTAGCAGCTTAATTTATTCAGCATAAAATGGATGACAAAAAAAAAATTTTTAACTGATTTTAGCTCTGAAGATCATTAAGGCCCAGGCAGAAAAAGAGAAGTAAAAGCGGCCAGGTGCGGTGGCTCGTGCCTGTAATCCCAGCACTTTGGGAGGCCGAGGTGGGCAGATCGCCTGAGGTCAGGAGTTCGAGACCAGCCTGGCCAATATGGTGAAATCTCGCTGCTACTAAAAATACGAAAAATAGCCGGGCGTGGTGGCCACCTATAATCCCAGCTACTCGGGAGGCTGAGGCAGGAGAATCGCTTGAACCCAGGAGGTAGAGGTTGCAGTAAGCTGAGTTCGCGCCACTGCACTCCAGCCTGGGAGACAAGAGTGAGACTCCATCTCAAAAAAACAAAACAAAACAAAACAACAACAAAAAATTAGAAATAAAATAAAAAGTAAGAAAGTGGAACTTGCAAGGAATGATATGCAGGGCAGTGAGTGATGAAACAGTACACTGGTGGATCAGGAAGTGGATTGCAACTCTGGCTGTAGAGGAGAATCACATGAGGAGCTTAAAATAGCTAGATCACAAAAAAGAAAAACCACAAACAAACCCACATCTCTGACCCAGGAATCTGTAGTTTATAAAAACTTCCCAGGAGATTCTGACACTCCTTGTATTAAGAACCACTACCACCCCTCCCCTTTCCTAGAAAGAGTAAAAACACTTGCTGAGGTAACTTACCACTTGAGAATAACTGTTTCATATGTTCACGGGTGTATGAGTTGTCAATACTAGTTAGCAACTTTAAACATAAAAGCTTGAACCAAGCTGAATGGCTTCAAAATGAAAAGTTAAAGCAGTGACTTTAAATGCCATCACCTACAGAGACACCAATAGGAATAGGCGTGGCACTGCACAGGTACTCTGACATGTGGCATCAGGTAAGAGACAGGCTGGAACTACATGCACAGGAGGCATCATCAACTGCATCCCACTTTAGACCCACTGCTAATGCCCTGGTGACTAGCAAAGCTATGCATACGTAAAATATTTTCCAAAAGCAAGTTCTCAATTTCAACTTAACCTCGTACATAAGGTGTTCCTTCAGATGTAATGAATTTATGTTTGCAAAGAACCCTGGGCGCACACTGAAGTTCAGGTTTATTAAATCATTCCTTCTATGCTAGAGGAAATATGGGAAGATATGGGAAGGTTAGAGTCAGTCAATACTGTTTTTTTTTTTTTTTTTTTTTTTTTTTTTTTAATGAGACGGAGTCTCGCTCTGTCACCCAGGCTGGAGTATAGTGCAGTGGAGCAATCTCCGCTCACCGCAACCTGTCTCCCAGGTTGAAGTGATTCTTCCACCTCAGCCGCCCGAGTAGCTGGGACCACAGGTGCGTGCCACCACACCCAGCTAAGTTTTTGTATTTTTAGTAGAGAGGGGGTTTCACCATGTTGGTCAGGCTGGTCTCGAACTCCTGACCTCAAGTGATCCACCCGCCTCAGCCTCCCAAAGTGCTGGGATTAGAGGCATGAGCCACCATGCCTGGCCCCATTCTTACTTGTCATGTCTTGGGCAGAATCCATTGCACTTGCCAAGAAATTGCCTTTATATGCCTCCTGAAAGACCTACTTAAGACTACTCTTTCTCACTTTTAGATGTTATGCTCTCTTATCTGTTTCAAAATGCACATTTTGCACAATAGTACTTTCCATAGCTCCTGAGACCCTTACCATCAGCTTCTTCTACTTCAAAGTATCTGTAGTTGAAATGGATAGTAGGAGCATGAGGATTCTTGGGGTGGATAACAGAGCTCACGCCCATAGCACAAAATGGCAATTTACCTGGAAAGTAAAATACGAGTAGTGAGCTATATTCAGTTACCCTGAATGGCTTGATACAATTTAACTCTAATATGATTTCTAAGTCAATTTTCAAAAGCTGATTTTTACATTGTCTCTTAAAAACATAATTTAAAAAAAGTAATTCTCAACATGCAGCATATGAACCCAAATGGCTTTTTTCAGAAGCAGTATTTAATTTATAAATAAAACTTGTGGGCAAAATAAGGTTTGCAGGGACTATTAAAGACTGTCAAGACTGTCTGATTTACCATCTTTAGTCTTCAGAACTTTTCCTCTGCTTCTCATTTGTTTTGCAGCTTCCTCTGAAAGATTTCCATGAACAACAGAAATGCTCACCCCAGCCTTTTCGAAAACACACCCATCTTGAAGTACACAGCTGATGCCACCACCTCCTGTGTAGAGAAATGTAAAAAAGGAGGGAATGTAAGAGTATGTACAAAACTGAAAGCAACCCTTGCATGAAGATGGTTATCTTCCTGTTTTCCAAATCTTTTATATCAGTGTATTTATCATTTTATGTACAATACAATTAGATAACTAGCTCAGCTTCATAGCATACACTATTAATATTGGGCAAATACTGGACCTTCTCATATCACTAAACTGAATATTTCTTCAACATTCTCCTGCCATCATCTAAAATAAATCACTGGAATATTCTCCCTTCAGATTCTACTGTTCAGAATGGCATCTATCAGTTATGATATATGAGAGAAAGCTAAGGTTAAAAATGGGAATGGGTAGACTTGAAGGGTGTTCTATTATTACTGAATTTAAGAGATCAATATTGTTTCAAAAATTTCTTTCTCAGTGTGCTGTTTGCCTTTTAATTTTATTTACAGGCAATTAATAAACAGTAGATATTCAAACTCTGAAAGGATTCAGAGCCTTAAAGTGAGAAGCACATTAGTAGTCACGTGTATGAGCCTTACTACTAATTTTTTTTAAGGTACTAGGGTCACTGTAAGGACAATGTTTCATCAAAGTTCATGTTTGGCTTGTTTTATTTCTAAGAACATTTAGAGCTGGATGGGACATAAGATGATCCAGTACAACCCTCATATATTCCAAATGAGAAAACTGAGGACCAGAGGGGCAAAATATCTTATCTGAGACCAAACTGCTGACAAGTGGCTGCAACAATTTATCTAAATGCTGCCTATGCTTCAGACAATATTCTCAGCACTTCACATATATTCCATCCAAATAATGGGTAGTATGAGGATTAAATGAGATGAAATATATATATATATTTCATAGATGGAAAAACAGCCATAAAAAAAGTAACTTCTGAGGGTCACACGGCTAGTCTAGTTTGAGGTTGTGTCCTAGTTCAGTGGTCTTTGCTTGAAAACATTACAAGATGGAAAACCAGACTGAACTTCATTTAATATAGATGTAGCAACATCACAGCTCAAAATAGGAAAAGTCAGGAATCCTTCAAGTTTCCACTCAAGATGTGGGCTTTCACTGTATGGGCAACAACATGGTCATGAATGTATGCCTCTATGAGAACTGGGTTCTGATGCTCAGGTATTTTGATATTAGAAGGGAAGACTTTCCTAGCAGGAAATCTGACGCGTGCATTTGGTAGTGCTACTGAGAAACCAATCAAATAAATCTTGCGCAACAGTAAAAAGAAGTGGGAAGACTCTGACACAATGACATCCTGGCTGGAGGAGTTTCGCCGACACTTAGCGGGCAGGAGATGAGTTCTTTCCATCTCCTAAAGAGGAAAAAGCGCAAATTCACCCAGAGAAGGAGACAAAATGTGTCCCATAATCTATTGAAATTTATGTTCAATAACGAACTTTGGACATCTAAGCTTGTTAGTTACAAATACCCCTTAAAAGTCCTAAAAAAAAAAAAAAATGCTGCTATGGAATTGCAAAGATTTTGAAATGCAGTACCACAGTGACAGCTGATCTGGGTCCACACCTACAAGCAGAGGGCTGGTGACCCTTTCGTGTCCATCTTTTTATCAGCGGCCTCTCTGTGGGTACTCCCTACCTACCCCATCTCATATTGTGAACTATTATATTTTCTGTCTGCAATCTGCAACCCTTTTCCCCCAATCTCCACCTCCCGCCAAGGGCCGGCCTCCTTACCTTCCTTCCTCTCCCACCGGTCCACAGAAAAGCTGGCGCCCCCGTCCACCTGTGCCAGAGCCTGACACACCTGGGCCTGGGTCTCCAGGATCAACAGCTCCATCTTGGTCTTTATGTCGCCTGGCCTCCTTCGCAGCTCGCCCAGGTCGGTCACAGGTGGGGCCATGAAGCTGCTGCAGCGGCGGGCCAGCTCATCCTCCTCCTCCGGCCTCCCCAGCGAAGGGGCCCGCGTCCCCGAGCTCTTAGGCACCATCTCCGCCCGCTGCACATGCCCGAGGGCAGCGGCGGCCAGCCCCACCAACCCCGCCAGCGCCGCGGCCAGCCCTGTCCCCAGCCAGGGCCCGCCTCTCGCCGTCGGGCCGTGCCCCAGCCCGCGGCTCTGCTCCGTGCCAGCCGGGCCAGGGGGCCGACAGCTGCGTCTGGCTGCGCTGTGCTGGGACCAGGCTCGGAGCCCTCCGCCGCCGCACTGGGACCAGGCGCGGAGCCCTCCACAGCCGCCCCGCGCCACGCGCCAGCAGGGGCCGATGCTCAGCCTGCCCAGCTGCAAGGCCATGCTCCCGCACTATCACCTGGGGCAGTGCCTGCGTCCCAGAGCCCGGCCCTTGAGCCGACCCACCCCGACCCCGGGAGTCCTGAGCCCGCGAGCCGCACAGGACGAAAGAACCTTTCGGGAAGAGCCACTGCAGCGTCGGGCTCCGGCGGCGGGGGCGGGAAGTGGGGCGTGCTGGGAGCTGTAGTCCGAATCCTATCGCCGCCTGCAGCGCCCCGCGCGGGGCGGGAGATAAGAATCCGACGCACCCAGAAGGGCTGGTCCGAAGAGAAGAGAGCGGGGCGGGGACGGTGCTGTAGAAGCTACGGGAGAGATAAAAGAGGCTCTCTAGTCACGTACAACTTCAGGTCGGCTGTTTACTCAGCCAAGGAGAGAAGATAGAGTCGGGCTGGGAGGCTGAGGGCGGACTGGGGCGGAAATGTGGCAGAGATCCCAGTCCCGCTTACATTTTCAAACAGGGTTTGCAGAATACAGAGCCTGGCTCAGGATCTATGGACTATAGACCCGCCCGTCGCCCTGGGTCATGGTCCTCTAGAGTTTTCAGAGGGGATGGGCAGGCTGGGAAACTCCTTGCTTAAGGATGATTTTCTAACGAGAGTGGGAGAAGCTAGTAATGGACTCGGAAGAGAATCTAGAAGACTTTGTGATCGAGTGCACATCACAGTTCTGTCCTTAAGATTTCCCCAGGCCGGAGCCGGGCGCGGTGGCTCACGCCTGTAATCCTAGCACTTTGGAAAGCCCAGGCGGGTGGATCAGATGAGGTCAGGAGTTCGCGACCAGCCTGGCCAACATGGTGAAACCCTGTCTCTATTAAAAATACAAAAAAAAAAAAAAAAAAAAAAATAGCCGGGCGTGAAAGCGTGCGCCTGTAGTCTCAGCTACTCGGGAGGCTGAGGCAGGAGAATCGCTTGAACCCGGGAGGCAGAGGTTGCAGTAAGCCAAGATCGCGCCACTGCACTCCAGCCTGGGTGACAGAGTGAGACTGTCTCAAAAAAAAAAAAAAAAAAAAAAAAAAGATTTCCCCAGGCCTTGCTTCTGTAGTGCCTACTTGATTATTTTAGAAAAAGGAAAAGCAACGTGACCGTTTTGGTTAACCAGTAGAAAATTCCTGTGTTTTGGTGATTAACAAATAATTTTTAAAATAGTTATTCTACTACTGTGGGATGCTCCTAAATATTGCTCACGTTTAATACTTACAACAACTGCTATAAACTAGGCAGGGCAAATATCCACACTTCCTCCCACTCTGTCTCCCTTCCCCTACCCTTTAAAGACATGAGGAAAGAAGCTAACAGATTTGACAGGCAAGTCTTTGTCTCCCCTGTAACCATACCAGAGCTCCATGGTTCCTGGACGTAAAAGTGTGAGAACTATTGTCATGGGCTAATTTGTCCCATAAGTCTCCAGGATGGTTTTAATTTCTAGTAATAGATAATAATTTAAGCCACCGGTAGCTGTTCCCACAAGTGTGTCCTTAGTGGCAGGATGCACTGATGGAACTTCAGTGGCTTTTGAGTGAGACCAATTGGCATCTTATCCACACACAACTGCACCTGGCAGCTCTCGCACTGGGACATGGTGTTAGCAAGGTGGGTGTGCTTGCCCAAGCCTCACCACTGAGAATCAGTGAAAAGTAAAGGCTTGGTTTTTGGGGAACCCAAGATGGCCGAATAGGAACAGCTTCAGCGTCCAGCTCCCAGTATGAGTGACACAGAAGATGGGTGATTTCTGCATTTTCAACTGAGGTACTGGGTTCATCTCACTGGGGCATGTCTGACCAGTTGGCACTGGTCCATGGGTGCAGTCCGACCAGCGAGAGCTGAAGCAGGGCGAGGCATCGCCTCACCAGGGAAGCTCAAGGGGGAAGGGAATTCCTTTTCCTAGCCAAAGGAAATTGAGACGCACAACACCTGGAAAATCAGGTAACTCCCACCCCAATACTGCGCTTTACCAAGGGTCTTAGCAAATGGCACACCAGGAGATTATATCCCACACCTGGCCCAGAGGGTCCCACACCCAGGGAGTCTCCCTCATTGCTAGCGCTGCAGTCTGAGATCTAACTGCAAGGTGGCCGCGAGGCTGGGGGAGGGGCGACCGCCATTGCTGAGGCTTAGGTAGGTAAACCAGGAAGCTCAAATTCGGTGGAGCCCACCACAGCTCAAGAAGGCCAGCCTGCCTCTGTAGACTCCTCCTCTGGGGACAGGGCATAGCTAAACAAAAAGCAGCAGAAACCTGGGCAGAGGTAAATGCCCCGTCTAACAACTTTGAAGAGAGCAGTGGATCTCCCAGCATGGAGGTTGAGATCTGAGAACAGACAGACTGCCTGCTCAAGTGGGTCCCTGGCCGCTGAGTAGCCTAACTGGGAGACATCCCCCACTAGGTGCAGACCGACACCTCACACTTCACATGGCAGAGTACACTCCTGAGACGAAGCTTCCAGAGCAAGAATCAGACAGCAACACTCGCTGTTCAGCAATATTCTATCTTCTGCAGCCTCCGCTGCTGATACCCAGGCAAACAGGGTCTGGAGTGGACCTCAAGCAAACTCCAACAGACCTACAGCTGAGGGTCCTGAATGTTAGAAGGAAAACTAACAAACAGAAAGGACACCCACACCAAAACCCCATCAGTACGTTACCATCATCAAAGACCAAAGGCAGATAAAACCACAAAGATGGGGGAAAAGCAGGTTAGAAAACCTGGAAATTCAAAAAATAAGAGGCCGGGCGCGGTGGCTCAAGCCTGTAATCCCAGCACTTTGGGAGGCCGAGACGGGCGGATCACGAGGTCAGGAGAT